AACTCACAAAATCTTTATCCACCAATGAATTAATGTGCCAACTCATCGGTGCTTAGGATAACATGAGCACCGGTACTCATTAGATCATTCCTGTATATATATATATATATATAATTAAAACTTGAAATCTGATTTTGGAAAATAGATCTTGAAAAGTAGAGAATTGGGTAATTTGCACTAAATTAAAAACAGGCCAATAAGAAGTCCAGTTCCCACCCATGCTACTGGCCCAGCCCATTATATGCTGCAGCATATACATACACTAGATTTGTACGTATATATTCTCGTATAAAAACATCAGCGTACTACTACTGTACAAAAGTAAAAAGAATCTCATACAAGATACAACAAATAACAATAATTCCCGATAAACCACTGTTTCTCTCTCTACCCCCTGTTCTGATCATTGCGGCTAGGGTTTCACCAAACCCAGCTATCTTTTTGTACCTTTGACATAGATCTGTTATATTTATAATAATGACGGTGAATGAAGAGTTCAATTAAGGATTTGTGCTTTTGATATATCTGGAAAGCTAGGGTTTTTCTTCTGGTGGCTGAAAAATGGCGACAGCGAATCCATTTGATTTGTTGGGAGACGATGATACGGAGGACCCGTCGCAGCTTATTCAAAAGATCGAGCCGAAGAAAACCCTAGCTCCCTCGACGCCGCCCAAGCATCAGCCGCAAACTAAGACGGCTGCTGCTGCGGGGAATGCTAAGCTTCCTTCGAAGCCTCTTCCCCCGGCTCAGGCTGGTCAGTTGCGCTCCTCTCTCGCTTCTTTTGTTTTTATTGTTAATTTGAAGAACGGTAAATAATCAATGATCTTGATTAATGTATAATTATCTGATTTCTTGTTTCTCTTCTATGAACATTGATTACTATATTATTATTTGCTTTAAGGGGCTTAAGACTTATTAGAGAATTTTTAATATATTTTTGAATGTGTTTTTACTAATTTTATGTGACAATGCCCCCATTGCTTAAATTGTTTCCGTAAAATTTAGGGAAAAAAATATTTTTGATGAATTTCTGGGCTGAAAGAAAGAATTGAATCTGCTTGTATTCACGATTATTGTTCTATTTGAGCTGTATAGTCTCTGGAATTCAAAGTTTTTTAACTGTATTAAATGATTATTCATGACAATGATGTTACTTAATAATGTCATTTTCCTTGCTTTAGTAATCAATTTTAAATTTGAGATCTTATTTGGCGTAGATTCTGGTATTTGTCATTTTGGGTTTTTAGAATGTGTAGTACAGCAGATATCTTGTTGTTCTGTATTATTTCCTCATCTCTTGTGGATGACAGGAAATTGTCTATATATATATATATATATATATTGTGCTTCCAAAGTTTATTATGTTGGTGTCCACGAATAGATAAAATAGAACTTTTTGTAGAGTTATCTCTTATGGATTTCCAATTACATTGTATGTTTACTGACCGCTATGTGTTTTTGACTCTATGCTCTGTGCTTTGTCAAGTCATCAATTAAATAATGAAGCCAATCATTAGTAGTTTCCGCAACACGTGTAGGAACCATCACTTATCTAAGTATTGTAATTGAGATTTACCTATTAGACATTGTGGACTATTTACCCACCTATCTTTTCCCTTTGTTTGGCTTGGTTTTCTTTGAATACGCCCATATTGTATGTCATGCCATGGGAAGAAAAAAAACTCAAAATGAATGAGGTATGTGTAACCTTTTCATCATAGTGCTCTTGGAATATTTGCACTGACCAAGTGCTCTTGCAACAAATAACCTATTAATTGTACTTTATTTATGTGGATCACTATACCAAGAGTGTCCATAAGAGTTTGATTGTAAATGTGAAGGTTCAGTGAGTAGGACTAGGACGGATATCCTACTTTGTTCTTATTTTTAACATCATTTGGAGAATGCTTGATATACTTATTCATGCCATATTTACTGCTGTTTCTTTCAGTTTTTTGTTCACAGCGACACTCGCATAATTTTATCAATTCTTCTTTATTATAATTACCCCTTGAAACGACCTTCTATTATTTATTATTTCCTGCAAATTGCCACAAAATAAATTTTAGGTAGGTGCTACTCATCAACTATATATATGTGTGTGTGTGTGTGTGTGTTCAAATCATCACTTTTGCTGTTAACTGTTGATGATTCCTTATGCATACAATTGTGTTTGTTGAGTAGTCAGAGAGGAAAAATCTGAATCTGCACGAGGAGGCCGTGGTGGACGAGGATATGGGCGTGGTCGTGGCCGTGGGTACAATAGAGACTCAACCAACAATGGGAACACGTATGGAAATGTGGAAATTTCTGGTGGTCAAGGGGCATCTGGTGAGGCCGATGCCCGGAAACCTTTTGAAAGGCGTGGTGGCTATGGCGGATCTCGTGGTCCTTATGGTGGTGGTCGCCGAGGTGGTTTCAACAATGGAGAAGTGGGGGAAGGTGAACAGGAAAGGCCACGTCGTGTTTTTGATCGCCATAGTGGCTCTGGGCACGGGTATACTGCAATGTTTTTGGCTAATCTCTCTTTTCTTTTTGTGTCTTTTCGATCCTTTGACACTTATATTCTGTTGTGAACTTTGTTCCACGTGCAGAAATGAGATGAAACGTGAAGGATCTGGCCGAGGTAACTGGGGAGCTCAGACTGATGAACTGGCTGAGTGAGTATTTCCTTTGTGCCTTTGGGCTTTAATCAATACAGTCGCATATGCTCTGTCTCATATATCTAATCCGGTGTTCCTTCTATCATCTTTTCTTTTCTAGAGTTACTGACGAAGTCGTCAATGAAGGTGAGAAAAATCTGAATGCTGAGAAGCCCTCAGGAGAGGAGGCTGCAGCAGATGGAAACAAGGAAACATCTGCGATTGAAATTGAAGAGAAGGAACCTGAGGATAAGGTTAAGGTCTTCATATAAATTAATTCATGATTCCATTTACTTTAATGGTATAGTTGTCTGCTACTTCCACAGGCCAATATTCAATTCTTTTCTTTTACGTTCCCATGATGTCTTGAGAGACGACCTTAATTTCAGCTAATTACAATCAATCATTTATCCTATGCAAGTAGCACCTGTACTCTTTCACTTTGAACCTGAGTAAATGTCACTTGGGATTTTTTTTTAGCATTAGTGATGAGGTTTTATGACTAGTGAAGATGAATTTGTAGATATTTTCTGAAAGTACGAGAATCATCTTAGCTGAATTCAACAATGCTGATTGCTGGAATAACTTAATTTTTAGCTATTCTGTCTTCTGTCTGGCTTACTAACTAGTAAATAGCAATCTTAGAATTCTTCGATGACACCAAGATTGAACTGCTCTGGTTTCATATAGCAACTTTCTTAGCATTTTGCATTCATGATGTCTGCTTACTTCATCCCAAAAATGTCCATGTGGAAAGTTATATTAAATAATATGCAGCCAGCACATACTGATCATAGTACTGATATTCTTGTTTTGGTTATAACATCACAACACCCTGAACTGTTATTCAGTCTTAGTTCGTTTGACACTTTTTGCCGTTTAAATGAGAAAACACGAACTAAGGGTATCTTTTAAGTTGTAACTAGCTTAGCTTCATTAGTGACATGCCAATTCAGTCAGTGTTGGCATCTCTGTACACATCCTGGAATAAATGGTCCTTGAACTTGCAGGAAATGACTCTTGAAGAGTACGAGAAGGTTCTAGAGGAAAAAAGGAAGGCTTTTCAAGATCTTAAAACGGAGCAGAGGAAAGTTGACGTGAAAGAGTTTGAATCTATGCAACAACTTGCAAACAAGAAAAACAGCGATGATATATTCATCAAATTGGTGAATTTATTTTATATATTTTCAGTATTTATTTTCATGCTTGTTACTCTTCTATATTTATCTTTGTTATGTTCTTCAAGTTGCATGTCAATGTGATGTGGTTCTTTTGTGTTCATCATCAATTTGATTTCGTTCTTAGGGCTCTTTGAAGGATAAGAAGAAAGAATTGGCTGAGAAGGAAGAGAGAGCCAAAAAGGTAACTGTTCGTGTACTATATTCTCTCATGGGTTGTATGGGTCAGGTGCCATTGTTGTGCTCTCTCGTGTTGTTGCAACCTTGCACATGGCCTAGTTTCAGACACGTTTCTGTGCAAAGCCTATTATTCCTGTAGCTGATTTTCATCATGCACGGCATTTTCTATTTAGGTGTTAATTGGTTGGGTTAGGGGGACATTTCAGCACAACTGTTTAAACCACACTTTATTTTGGATTGTTTAGTCTGTCAGCATTAATGAGTTCTTGAAGCCTCCCGAGGGTGAAAGGTACTACACTCCTGGTGGCCGCGGTCGTGGACGTGGACGTGGTTTTAGAGGAGGTTACAATGGAGATGGTGAGATGAGCAATGTGAAAGCACCTGCCATTGAAGATCCAGGGCAGTTCCCTACTTTGGGTGCAAAATGAGACACTTTCATGCATTCCTCCTGTCCTTTTATCTCTACTTTCTTCTTATTTGGAGGCAGGAATCAACTGCAATAATGGATATCTCTGTATCTGTATCAAAAGAGTTCCTTAAGTGTATGCCTAAAATGTATATTACTGCGGTTTTTCATGTGATCCCCCCACCCCCTATAGCTATTTCTCTAATGCCATGTCTGCTATCTTTTTTAAAATTTGTGGCATATGAACTTGTGACTTCATATATTTGTGTTGAATACAGAAGGCAATTTAGTTATGTTGGTGTCTTCCCGTCGTATCGGGAAAATATGACCATTGTGTTCTTGTTATATTAATCCATCAACTATGTCATTTTTCGTATCGACAGTTTTTGAAGAACGCATTTTGAGCAGGGTATGTTTCTTCCAACACTTGTTACCACAGGGGTCAATGTAGTTCATCTAACGTTTGAAAATTACACTTCAGATTAGTGATTAGGCATAATATTGATGAGTATCAGTTTGTATAATTTAAAGATTCTTTCTGTATATCATCCCTTAGGATGTGTGCACTTTTTGAGGCTTGTGTTTTTCAAAATTTTACTTTATATGCTACATACTAGTAACAAAAATGACTTTTACTGAAAAATTACAAATTTACCATTATAAATAGTTAAATACACGAAGACTCTTATAATAGAAAATAACGAATCACATCATTTGTATTATATTATTTAGATCCATAACTTCAACATGAACATTAATTTTAAATATTAAATGTTTATTAATTTTTTAAACATGAAGTACCAAAAAAATATATTTAGGTCCCGTTTGGTCCATATTATGTTTTTCATTCTCATTCTTCTACTCATTTTCAACCATATATTCTTCAATAAAATAATATTTTTCATCACATCAATAACTTTTTCTTCTTTTTCAATCACATATTCTTATTACATCAACAGTAAAAATGCATTCTTACCTTCAAAAAGTGCATCAAACGAGGGCTTAATGAAGAATTATTAATTAGAAAATAGCATGTAAAATGTTTTATAAAATAATATATATGATGTGAATTGTTCTTTTAATTAAAAATATTTTTATTTGTTTAGCTATTTGTAATTATATATTTGGTTATTTTTTGTGATCATTATGCAAAATGTAGTATGTAAAATACAAATTAATAAAAAAACGGCGTGTAAAGTGTAATTACATCGTATGCACATTGATATAGGATGACATCAATAATTAACCGCGTACGCGGGTGATTGTAACCGGTAGGGGAGGACAACTTGATATTATGGGATCGAAGTAAGGGTTACTTGATATGCACCCCTGTAAAGTACCACGTCAGAGGCCGTCGACCACCATGGGGTGCTCTACGTTCTAATGATAAGATCGCCTACTACCATGGGGTGCTCTACGTTCTCATGATAGACCG